TTATACAACTACGGAAAATGGAAGTATTTTAAGGGAACCATAGTACCTAATTTGTTTAAGATCATGCCACATGTTTCTGATAGCATTGGTGGGATTTTACCCAATACCTATTCCAAGTTTGGATGTACTGTTTCATCACAAGAGACAACTGCCAAAGCAGATCATACACCGTGGAGAACAATAATCAAGGGTATATACTATATCACTGAATTTACCATCCGAACAGACCAAAAAGTATGGAAGGATGTGAACCACACCATCGCTTCATCTGTTACTGGGCCTCTGCTGGGTAGGCTGCCAGTGGTTGCAGTTGCTCCATCTACTTTCTTCTGTGGAGTGGCTGGTCCACAACCATTGCAGGTTGCTATCATCACTGCCGGAGTAGAAGAGTGAGTACTTCTGAATATGATTCACCAGCTTACTCAAGTTTCCATCCCATCATTAGGGATGTAGATAGCACTTATTACTGATCCAACCTGCCTAAACATTGCACAGCTATTAAGGCCTGAGAAAGTGTTAAGAGAGTGGGTAGAAAATGCAAGTATCGTCTAACGTCAGATCTGCGAGGCTGCCTAGCCTGTTGGCCCCATCACTCAGATATGTCCTCAGTTCTTGCAGCTGACCTAGTACCTATGACTCCATTATACCCAGGAATTGTGAGTGCAGTATTTGAAATGAGCGATGTTGCCTGTGGGCTGTCATTATTAGAAAAATTTCAGACATCAAGTACCTTTCTAGCAACAAGCCAGGAACTCTGTTTTGGTGTCCTGGTATACGAAAGGGATATAAATACAAGGATGAGGTTATGATGCACCTAATGGGCAGGGCTATTCCTGATTCAGTTGACATTTTGTCCATTGTTCTTTCAAATCGCAGTGCGTAGGGTACTGATATACTCAGATGATTTGAAGGAGTCACCGTGCCCTTTATTGCTGAACAAATTCATATTACTATTAAGGTCGGTCCATCTGCTGTTTATCAAAGTATTGTATTCTTGCCCTGGCCAGGTTGCTCAGTTGTTAGAGCATAGTCCCAACACACCAACTTTGCCAGTTCGATGCCTGGTCAGGGCACATACAAGAATCAACCAATAAATGTATCAATAAGTAGAACAATAAATCTCTCTCTGTCCCCCCTCCCTTTTTTTCTTCCTCTAAAATCAATAAATTAAAAAAAACTTTTTTAACTATTCTCCACCCTACAAAAGATCAATTGTGTGACAACACCTGCTGAAGGCAGGAAAGTCCCTAATGCGTGTTAAAGTTCAGTGTGGCTCAGTCAGTGATCTGTCTTTCATGCCAGTAGGCATATCGGTGTGATGACAGAAAGCCTGTTAGTGTTGTCAGGCTGGTTTAGAATCACAGGAGTGGTATCTCCAACTAACTTTGCTACTTAAAAGACTAGTAAAAAGATGTATATAGAGTTCTACCTGGAATTATCAGTGGAATAATGACTGACTATTTAGCAAGTACAGCTGAAGACAGGACTGTTTGGCAGTGAAATTGGAAAAGCCAGCATTCCTGCTTTCTGTCACTACCAGAACCTGTAAGCAGAGACAAGGATTGAATCTTTATGGGTGCTTTATTCAGATGCCAGTGATCTGAGAAGACAGTGGGTTATGTACCCTTAAAAACCATCTTAACATCTCATCTCAAGCTAACCTTTTTATAAGGAGAAAAGAGGGTAGGTAGGAGGTCTGGAAAAAAAGTTAATTAGATAAAAGCTTCAGTCCAGAGGTGATTTTCCTAGTACTTCTTTATCATTTGATCAATTCTTTATCTGTGTCCTTCCCTGGAACACAGTGGCTCAGATACTACAGCCGATCATCTGCAGACCCTTAGGGCACAAGGTTGAATTGCTTGTTGACTTCCTGGAGTTATGAATTCTAGTTCCTAGAATAACAGCTTTCCACATGCTTTAATCACTTAAGCATATCAACTGTGACTAAAGCAAAATCTTTTTAACTCTTCAGTTCCACTATCAGCAATATGAACACCATATGCACTTAAATGTAATACTGATTCCATGACAAACTACGCAAAATCTGGTGAAGACTATGCCATACACTTGCAGCAGGTGTTAATTCACAGGTGCAACTTAATCACAGCTGCAGTCCATTCTGGGAAAGGTAGATAGAACATTCTTCTTAACCGAGTCCTGTAAGTCATGTACAAAAAAAAAATTGTTTCAGAGTAATTCTCTCATTCAACCCCTAGTCTATTAAGGTCTACCTAATTAGGTCTACCTAATCTAGTGACTTCATCTCAACTGTCTAGCACTACTACATCTACGGAGGCAGACAGTAATGACCCATATGATGCAGCTGCACAACTCATTGTTGATGAGGCATACAAGGGATTATGGGTAGAGTCTAGAAGACCAGCAGTGGGTCTCTCCTCAGACTCAACCCTGACATCATTAGAATATCACTAGCTCAGTGTAGCTCAGTGCTGCTTCATATTATAGAAGGTGATGATTAAGAAGATCCGGTTCCTAGTGCTGAACTCTAAGCTGGATGCACAATTCACAGATTATATGTGGTCTATCAGATGTGACAATGCCATTAGTCCAACAGTCAGATGGTTAATGACAGCTAGAGAAGACGATGTGTTCCATGAACAACTAGAAATGATCAATGATATGTTCAAAATGGGATTTCTTGCTTTTCCAGACAGGCAAGGTATTCTGATGAGGCTGTTAATGACATCGCATTCAAACAAAACATACTATGGAGGAACACTTGTTGATTTAAACCAATAAAAGTTACATGGGAAGGCATATGTCATGAGGCATGAGATGGCTATCGCATCATTGCTCAAATCTCATTTTTAACCCTGTACTGCTTGAGACAAACACATATATTGTTAAGGGACCTAATTGCAGGCATATGGCTACAGTAAGTCTGCCTTTTGAAGGGGAGTTAATGTCACTCTGTCACAGATGACATAAGTAATCTTTGTGTCGAGCATACTGTTGACATTTCAATTTTGTGGACAGATGTCCCTTCTGTAGTTTGTTTAGACCTTTGTCATGTAACACATCATGTTTTTTACTTGATGGGGGAGGTGGGTAAATGCAAGGGTTGCTGATGCTGAGTTATGTAATGCAACTTGTGAACACCTAGAAATAAGACCTTCTCAATTTTATACCAGATCAAAGTTATGGGTTGACCTAAAACAAACAAACAATGCGTAAATATATGGAACAACAAATCAGTGTTTCTCTTTCCCTTCCTCTCTCTAAAGTCAGTAAATAAAAAAGTTTTTTAAAAAGAAAATACAGCCCTGGCTGGTGTAGCTCAGTGGATTAGGCACAGGTCTGTGAACCAGAGAATCGCAGTTCGATTCCCAGTCAGGGCACATGCCTGGGTTGCCGGCTGGTTCCCTGCAGGCCAGTTCCCAGTAGGGGATGCATGAAAGGCAACCATACATTGATGTTTCTCTCCTTCTCTCCTTCCCCTCTAAAGATAAATAAATAAAATCTTTAAAAAAAAAAACACAAGTAGAATATAATAGAAATAAGGTAACAAGATGGTTGGTTGATTCAGTTCAAAAAATGGGTTGCTGAAGTCACCTTTACCATGACGGTAATAACCACTGTGAAGACCGAGGTGCCAGATGTCCAGTTTCCACAAGTCTGGCCATTTTCAAGCAGATATATATCTATCCCCATTAAAAAAAAATAGGATCCAAAAAAAAGAAAATAAAGGCATAACTGAAATCCAGGATGGTCCAATGAAGAAAAGTTTTAGTGCTTAGTTGATGGCTTTTACTAACATCTCAATAGAGGGTGGACTTGTCCTGTGATACAGGAGAGTCTATGTGCTGTTTCAATAGACTATACATCGGAACAGATAGGGAAGTAAAACAAATATTGTATAAAGTCAGGCACATACCGTCGTATAGTGTTTGTTGAGAAAACAGTAGAACTGATAAAATCAGGGTGTGAATAAAGCACATTCTTATTTTTAAAAATACTGTACAGGTGTAGCTAGTCTAATATAGTATAAATGACCATGAACTCAGGTCATTTTGCTAAAAAGCAACTCAGAGTGAAATTTAAGTTTAGCTATTGCATAGTCGCAGTTTCTTACAGCTTGTCTTCCTTCTTTACCCATGATTCCTGTGCCAACATTTGCTTCTTGTATCATGCTTCCATCACTACCACCATCACCAACAGCCCATGTTACAGGTTTCTCTGGTGAGGTTATACCTTGGGTTTCAGCAGCGGTGCCATACGACAGCACAATGCAGCTGAACAATTTCCACAAACACCATAAGTTTTTCATGTTCCCAGAGTGCAGGAGAGAGACTGATCCCATCTACCACCAGCACATGCGGAATCACGTGATCCTCTGTCATTCTTGTGGCAAGCTGCCTCAACTGTTCAGCACATTCACTGCCTGATTCCTTGTTTATAAGTCCAAGGATATTCATAGTTAGGTGGAAATGTCCACATGATAAACTCACAGTAACAGCTCTTTCATGTTTCTCTCCATTAAGTACCCCATACTTTGATACCAGCCATTCTCAGTGCTTCAGTAGTTTCTTGAACTTTATCTTGTAGTCTGTCTTCTACTATAACTCCAAATAATACCAGATCTTTCTCCATGAGCTGGAAGACATTTGCCAATTTCTCTTCTGGTTGCTGCAAGACAGTCCCGCTTCAAACAGGCGTCTGTTACCTCATACTCCCTAGCTGTGAACTGTTTATAGGCCGTGCACAGAGGTCTTAAGCCTTTCAAAGCAAAATCATCTACATGAATTCTCTTTTTTTCTATTTGTCCACCTATATGTCGGGAGAATTGATGATTCAATTTAGTACCAATGATGGCTATAGAAATAAGGATTGCTAGATAAATTATCAAAAATATATCCATTGATTTTTCTACTCCAGATCATTTCTGTGACTTGCTCTTGTAATTTAATGCCATCTTTGTTTCCATTCCTGTGTTTAACATATAGCAACACCCAAAATTTCTTTTGTGTTTTTAAATCCAGTTCCACAAAGCATGACATTCTGGCCCCCAGAGGTCTTACAGCTTCTTCCATTTATTGAATTATTACCATCCATCCCATGAATGCGTACAAGCCTGCTTCTGCTTGCCGATATCACAGCTACAGGAGTGTCAGCTTTTTGTGACACTGCTGTTTCTAGAACTGCGACATGGGTCTTCAAGTTAGTTTCTCCACCCAAACTAGCAGTGGCAAGGAGACAAGAATCATCAAGTAAATCTGGGGACAGAAGCACCAGACCTGCAGGGAAATTTCATCTTCGGCTGTTTGAACAACAGCATCATCCACCTGAATGTTTTTCCATCTCGGTTCCACAAAGCTACCACTTCGAACAACGTCAACAGGAGAACAGGGGCTCCTTTACTTCATTATCTGAGTTATGTTGTAACCAGTCTTCACATCCCTGCTTTATGGTGGCCACTGCTATCACAAAGGATAGTGGAAGTCCACTGGAATTTGGACTGGTAGGTGTATCATCAATCATAATCTGAACCAAAAATGTAATAAGAAAATAAAAGTTTGCCACTCTTCTAAACTGTTCAAAGAAGTTCTTTGGAACAAAATTCCATACAGTATACTCAGGTGAAATGATCCAGCTCCCTGTAAATTCCTGAGGTGTGTGAAGGCCATTTTGAGCAAACCTGTGGGCTACGTAAAAATTCTTGCATCACTTTGATGCAGCAGGTCAAAACCCAGCTGCTGCTGGACCCAGCGCTGCATGCCCCCACCATTGCTGTTCAGTCCTGTGGGACATGGGTGAGGGTCTGCAGGTGGAGGCTGAGGAGCCAGAGGGGGATGCGGGGGAGCCCCTCTTCCACCACCACCTCACTCCCAGGAGCACCTGGTCCCCATTTCACCTGGTGGCTGAGGTCTTACAAGCATGGCCCCTGGCCTAGTACAGCTGAGTTTGCCGCTGCACCGAGACCACCTTCATTCTAAACTGAAGTTTTGCATAGGTGGGTATGCACTGGAAAAACCATAGTACATAAAGCGTTCCGCACTACTGTGGTTTGAGGCATCCCTGGGGGGTTTTGGAACATATGCCTTGGGTAAGGTGTGCTGTGTCCTATACCGTGTGAACGTATTTCCTTTCCCCCTTCTGCTTTTAAACTTTGTCTCCTGAATCTTTAATTGTAATAGGCAGTTTGCTCAGCTTCTCCCAAGACACATGAAGTTTTTAAATGTTCCTTTAGGGATCTAGGTAAATTCTCAGCAAGACTTATCCTCTCCCCCAACCTTTGAACTACTGACAATGGAGGGGAAGGTTGTCTCTTCTTTATTTTTTCAATGACAGTTGACATTCAATATTTTGTACTAATTTCAGATAGGTTTGATTCTTCAGGTCACATTCATAATAGTAGCCTTTCTCCAAGTTCTTAGTATTCTCACTGATTTTGCTTGGAATACTGATAATTGGGCAATAATTCCTTCAGGATTTCATTTAATAATTTAAATTAGTTTTAATTTATTGATTTGAGAGAGATAAGCATCAGTTTATTTCCCACCCATCTATGTATTCCTTGGCTGATTCATGTATGTGCCCTGACCAGGGATTAAACTCACAACCTTGGCATCTTGGGAAAACACTCCAGCCAGCTGAGTTGCCAGGCTGGGGCGCATTTAATCATTTTAATTTCTTCCTATTATACCACAAAACGTTTGGATATGCTTACCAAATTTTTTTTAAGGGGAGAGTGCAAACGCAGTTCCCCACTAACACAAATTATGCAGTCGAGTTTCCCACGTTTGGGGACATCACAGGGGTCAGCACATCTGGAGTGCAATGGACAAGCTGCGCCCTGAAACCACCTTCCTGGTCATGGTGTCTCTCCTACTAGGTAAGTCTTCAGCGAAGGTTTTTTGAACTCCTACTATGAGACAGTCATACTCGTACAGCAAATAGAGCAATAAACAAAATAAAGCTCCTCACCCTCATGAGGCCTGCCTTCCAGTAAACATTTTCAGTAACCCAGTAGAGAGCCTCTTGTTGATGCCTGTAATGTTGAAGATTTTCTATACTCTGGCTTTGGTTCAGAATTACCTGTCTTGTATATACATCTTTCATGTAACCAGGAGATTTCATCTCCACTCCATTGAAGTAGTTGCATGTTATTAAGCACCAATTTAGTAATGAGATGTTCAAATGTAACAAGTCTGTGACAAGTTAGCTCAGTAGATAGGGAAGAGTATCATGACATCAGGGTCATTAACTCTTGGGCTTATTCTTTTCACAAATTCATCAGTAGCCTTCTGGCTCAGAGCCACAGACGACTCTGCTAACCTGGGCAGTCCTCTGTCAAGAGGCCTGCAGCTGGGAGCAAGAGAAATCCGAATGGGAGATTAGCTGTCTATTAGCACTGTTGAAAAAACAGCCTAACAATTTACTGGGGCCTGGTGAAGGTACTCTAAGAGGCTTGCCAGACAATAGAGTCATTGTGATCAAACGTGGCTCAGGGCAGTCTTCACTGGGAAAGCTCCCCAGGCTGCCTTCTGTCTCCCCAGCTGGGAAAATCAGGAGGGAGTTCTTTACCCTGGATGAGCTCCTTGGCATGGGATTGTAGTCCTTTTAGTTCTGTGCTGCCTCTGAGGTGTGGTCTTCAGGAGTTCCTGAACGCAACTGTCCGTGTGGATGATTTAGAGAATAACAACTATGATGAGGTGTGTTGAGAATTTAAGCTGACGTGTGGGTACTCAGAAGAGTCTAAAGGATTTGGTTCTGTGTGTCTTGAACGTCTGCAGAAAGAAATTGAGCGGCACAAGCAGACCTTCAAGAAACTCAAAGATCAAACTAAAAGTTCATACATAAGTGCTCACAGTTCCCATAGAACTGTTCCCACAGTTCACAGCTCCCACAGTTCCCACAGTTTCCACAGTTCCCATGGCTACATATTGGCCGCTTCTATGAAACCATAGTTTGGGTAATTACTGTGTTTTGCCATGTATAATGCATACTTTTTTGCCTGATTTTTGAGAGAAAAATAAGGATGTACATTATGTATGGGTATAATGAGTATAATCCCATGTATAATGCACCCAAAACATGGGTGTGCAATATATACAGCAAAATATGGTAATATCCATCTGTGCTGCCAACTGATTATAATAATAAATTGTCATCGTGAAAAAAAAGAATCATCGGTGGATGCTAATGCTAGTGGGTGAAGTTTGATGAGGAACAGGGTATTTGCATAGTCCCAGCATGTCTCCCCACCAGATACTTGTCAACAATAAAGGGAAAAATAATTATTTTATTTTTTAAGAGTTTATTTGAACCAAACTCATGACATATTCTGGGAAGCAAGCTCTCAAATACTTCCTGAAAAGTCATAATTTTGAAGTGCAGAAACGTGAGAGACGTGCTCTTCACCGAGTCACTGAAGGTAATTTCGACAGTAAGGGAACAGATCAACCCTTGACACTATGTGCCGAGAAGATCACAACGTCACTTCTGTGGCATTCCTTCTGAGAATGCATAACCTGAATCTAATCACAAGGAAACATCAGACAGCCCAGGCTGAGAGACGCTTTGCAAAACACCTGGCATGTAACTCTTCAAATATGCCAAGGTCATGAGAGACGACAAAGTGGAGAAAAACTATTCCAGGTTAATGGAGACACTAAAGTCAACCTCATGCAAGGTCTGACCTGGCGTTTTCTTTTACTATATAAGAGACATTATTGGAGAAATTTCAAAATTTGAATGAGGTCTGTAGATTAGGCAATGTTACTGAATCAGTATTGACATAATTTTCATAATTGTACTGTGGTTATGAAAGAGAATTGTTCCTGTTTTTAGGTAATACACTCTGAAGTAGGGGAAAGGGCATCATGTCTACAACTTATTCTCAAAGAGAAAAAAACTTCCAAAACAATTTATAAATTAATATATACATACACCAAGAGAGAAAGAAAGAGAGTGCATAGGCATACACTAGGCATTGGGCCTAGGCTGCTAAAAAAAAGAATTGAAAGTAACACACAGCTTATTCATGACTAATGTCGGAGGTCCTTTTTTTATTTTTATTCAAGTACAGTTGTCTCCATTTTCCCCCCACCACTCCCCACAAACCCCAGCCATCATCCCTACCTCCCACCTTCGGTCCTACCCCGGTGTGACTTTGTCCATGTGTCCTTTATACATGTTTCTTGACAACCCTTCCCCCTTTTCTCCTCACTGTCCCCTCCTACTTCCCCTCTGGTTACTATCACTTTGTTCTTCATTTCAATGTCTCCGGTTATATTTTGCTTGCTTGTTTGTTTTGTCGATTAAGTGGCACTTATAGGTGAGATCATGTGGTATTTTTCCCTCACCGCCTGGCTTATTTCACTTAGCATAATGCTCTCCAGTTCCATCCATGCTGTCACAAAGGATAGGAGCTCCTTCTTTCTTTCTGCTGTGTAGTATTCCATTGTGTGACTGTTCCATAGTTTTTTGATCCACTCATGTACTGATGGGCACTGAGGCTGCTTCCAGCACTTGGCTATTGAGAAGTTCTGAGAATATGCCTCAAAACCCTGTTATTGGATACCCGGTACAAATTTATGGTGTAAGTTAACCAATGTATTTTTAAAGATTTGTTTATTTGAGAGAGAGAGGAAAGGAGAGATAAAAAGAGGGAGAGAGATAAACATCAATTTGTTGTTCCACTCATTCATGCATTCATTGATTGATTCTCATATGTGACCTGACTAAGGAGCGAATCCACAACCTTGGCCTATTGGGATGACGCTCTAACCAACTGAGCTACCCAGCCAGGGCTGGTGTAAGTGAAGAGAAGCAACCCGCATGGCAGGAAGTCTTGAATAACAGTGAGTCATTACCGATGTTCAAGAAAACTCTCCTAACCCCGAGTCAGTTTAGCCCATCCCAACTTCAGTTCCACAAATTCCTCTACCAAAAATTGTTTCTTTAACTTCATATTGAGTCACTGTGGTCACGTATTCCACCCAACTTTCCTGCTTGAACAGCAGAATACTCCATTTTCTGATAAACAGGCTTAATCCCCAGAAACACTAGACAGTTATCTAACATAAAGGTAAAATATCTAATACAGGGATCAAAGTCAAAGCTGATTAAAAACTAACATGGATGAGGTCGAAGCACCAGCAGCCTCTCTCTGCTCTATTATTTCTGTATCATTGGTGGGCAGGAAGCAGCCATACTGAAACACAAATTTTACTTGTTTCTTCAAAAATAAAAAAAGAAAAACAAATAGATGGTTTATTTTGAGGACGTACAGGAACTTATATTCTAAACGTCCAAAATTACATATTCTAGGGGCTGTTACCACCTCAGAACCCCACTGGGGCTTCCTTTTAATCTTTTTAAACATCCTGCCATGAGGCTGCAGCTGCATCCACCTATAGCAGGAAGCTGAAGGAGCTAATATTGGTCAAACATCAAAAGCACTTGGGTGGTTCTGACGTAGACCGTCAGCCTTCTCTTCCACCAATGCCACGTCCTTATTTTTTCCCCAAGCACATTAATGTATTTTTTGTTTGTTTGTTCTTTTTCTTTCCCCCTGAGTAAGTACTATAAATTGTTGCCAAGATCAGGGATTTTTTCTCAGGAAGAGACCACGAGTGTTAAGAAAGCGGACAAACAGCGCCTGCCTATAAGATGGGAACTGTCAGGCCCAGCCTTCTCTTCCATCTTTCTCTACATTGAACGGGATCATCAGTGGACTCGCACGCCCTTTGTCTGAGGGAGAGGCCTGACCTGTGCGAGGGATTTCCTAGTCGCTTTCGAGGGGCGAACGGGGAGCTGTCCTTCCCACCCGGTGTTGCAGTAAGAACCGCACCAATTGCCTCATGAGGACTGCAAATCTAATATGTACATGTACACCCAGCAAGTGTTTCCTGGTCATAGAGTGTTAGCGTGAGAAGAGTTTTAGAAGGTCTTTAGCTTGACCTCTGGTCCAGCACAGGCAGTTCTTCCGACAAATGGTCTCCGGCCAAGACTTTGTTATTTGTGATAACAAGGAGCTAGCTCCCCACGGTGTCGGGCAGCCCACCTCGGTGCTGGACAGCTCTCCTTGTAAGGCTGCTCGCTGGGGTTCCTGGGAGCCTCACGGACACGTCTGTGCCCCTCCCGTACCACAGCCCTTCGCACATCGGGGCCGCTGCAAAGATGTCCCAGTCACCAGATCTCATTGCGATTCTTCAGATCGCACTGAGTAAACAAGTGCACAAACATTCGAAAGTTAACCATGGTTAACTCTGGAAGTTAGGATTATGCTTATGTTTTTTTTCTTTTCTAAAATAAAATTTTATTTTTTTACAGTAAATATTTATTTAGTGACAATGACAACATTAATTCTTTTATTGAGTTTATTCCAGATGCCAGTCCTGGCACCCATATATAATTTTCCTGCAATAACCCCAAGAGGAACTATGACTGTCCCCTTGCACAGAGGCAGAAACGAGGACGCGGAGAGGTTAAGGAAGTTTCTGGGGACACACAGCTAAGTGAGTGGCTAAAAAGAAATCAGAAGCCAGGTTTGCCTGACTCTTAACCATTCCTGTTATAACAAGAAAAACCATTTCTTTCTGTTTGTTTTGTGTTTAGTGTGGTGTCCCGAAATTAATATGGCAGGCCAGGTTTGATCTGAGCAGCATGAAGTACACTGCAGTCACTGTGTCCTTGGGTTTGCACGCAGTGCAATCTAATAATGTCCCTAGGACTGTGTTTGATGTTTCACCTGTGACGTGAAGTTACTGACTCGTGTAGAGCTCTCAGGAAATGAAATCCTTCGGTTTTTTATTTTATTTTATTTTTCCTCTTGACTCACTCACTCTTCTCCCCTCCTCCCCTGTCACCCCATCAGTTCTTACACCTCCAGCAAC